GGCAAAGGCATTTAGGCAGTAGCCCATATTGCTCCATTAGGGGGTTTTGGGCTCTCTGGGTACCCCAAAGCGCACCAAGCGCCGCTGTGCAGACGAGCGGAAGCCAGTGGAATTCGACAATGCCGGGCACTTACGATGGACTCGTTCATTTCAATTCTTCTAAGCTCTAAACCCAAAGCCCTACAAACCCTAAACCTAACCCTAAACCCTACAAGCCCTAAACCTCTACAAATTCGGGTGTTTGCGAAGAGTAGCCAGGATCCCTTCGTCAGGAACCCAGATCGGGGATTTCAGGCTCCGGGAGAGAGCTGGCTGTACCCAAAGGCCCCATAGTAGTTCCTTTTTGGGATTACCTTATAGGATTCTAATGGGTGGTTGTCAAAATTATGGTCCCTTTTTGGGTCCTTGTTATAATACGGCACCTATTATTTAGGGTACCCCAAAAGGGACCATCATTTTGACAGCTACCCATATGAACCCCAGAAAGGAACTACTTTAGGGCCTATGGGTACAGCTTACAAACACAAAACCCAACATTCCATGTCCTCTAGTCCGAAGCCTGAACGCAGCCCTCTGTTTCGGTACCTAATTGTCGAAGCCCTTTTTTGGGGAACTCCCCCGCTACCCGGCGATCGCAACCGCCTGATTCCCGATGCTTTCAACCCCTACACTTTTGAGATGGGAGTTTCCGAAAGTTAGGGGTACCTTATTTTGGGGTCCTTATATTAAGGATCCTATCATTTAGGGTACTATATTAGGGTCCCCTATTTTCAGAAACCCCAGATTCGCTTGGCTCCAGACAGCCTCCTTTGGGGCGTTTCGGCCGGCCTCATCCTCTTATAAGCAAACTGCCACGAAAGATGCTGCGCGAGTCGAGTTACAGTTTTGTATTGAGGTTTAGGGTGCGCTGGCTAAGGTCAGATGGGTCAACGACATGTCGTATTCTGACGATGGCAAAGTGGTGAAGGTGCCAGACAACTGCTGGACGTGGGACCAGCGAGGGTCGCATGGAGGAAGCTCCCATAAACTGAGTCTTGCGGGCATATCGTACCATAGTAGATCATTCGATATTGCAGTGTATAGTATAGTGAAGTCCACTTTAAATGGATGGGTACACTGGGTTGCTTCTGCTTCTGGTTTTGGCCCAAGTCCTCCACGCCCGACATGAAGCCTAGCAGCGTAAATCTAGGAAACCAAACAACCAGTACTATGTCGATGGGGTTTAAACTCCTACCGGAGACTGCTTTGAACAGCTTCTCCGCCCCAAAAGCGCAGCCCAAACACCCAAACCCCCATCCCTAGAACCCTTAGCCCTAAATCCCCTTGACACAAACACTCCGCACAAAAGCTTCAACTTGTGCAAACCCGAAACCCACAGAAAGCTTGAAACATCATGTTGCACCGCCCGCGCCAAGAAGGACCCTTTTAAACCCTAAACTCCATAAACCCTAAACCCTAAACCCTATTATAGACCCTGAACCCTAAGCCCTAAGCCAGCCCTTTCCGTAGGTATACGTCGATTTTCCTGAGGAGATCAAGGCAGGGAGCTCAAACGGCTAACACAGGGGCCCTCATAATCTGACAAGGGTTCCTTTTCGGGTTTAGGGTTCCGGGTTTAGGGTTCAGGTTTGAGGTTCTGTTTAGGGTTCAGGGTTTAGGTTTTAGGTTTTGTTTAGGGTTCAGGGTTTAGGGTTTAGGTTTTGGGTTCGGTTTAGGGTTCAGGGTTTTTGGTTTAGGTTCTGGGTTCCTTTGAAACGGCTCCCCTAACAGTCCTGCAAGGGCTACCATACAGGTTCCGTCTACGGGTTCTAATGATTCGAACATAGGACTTTCGGTTACATCATGACATAGTTATGATGAGGAAACCTGAGGGAACAAGTATTGTTACTTGATAGGACTTCTACACTTTAAAGGTTTTCAAAGGGCCAAGGCCCTAAACCCTAAACCCTAAACCCTAAACCTTAACCCCTAAACCGTTGAAGGGCTCCCCAAAGGATTCCAGCAACAACTCCCGAAAGGGTTCTGCAAGGCTAGGGGTTTTGGGTTTAGGGTTTAGGGTTGGGTTTTGGGATTTCGGAGGGTCTAGGGGTTAACGGTTGAGGAGGAGCTTGGCTTAATGGCTTTGGGGGTTTGTGGTTTGGGCTGGGGGGGTTCCCTAAACCGTCTGAACTCTAAACCCAGGGTAGCATAGGGACCTTCAGAATTGCCTGTGCTATTCCAGTTGTTCCTTGTTAAAGTTACGGTAGAATATACCTCAAAGGCCTATTCTAATTCCCAAACCCCTGAACCCTAAACCCTAAACCCTAAACCCAAAACCCCCAACAAAGGGTAGGTGTTTGAAGTTCAGCGTCGTTTATGGCTCAAGGCATTGGGATCTCGGAGGTTCCAGTTTAAGCGCCACTTGCGTGACGGGTTTCGAGAGTTTAGGGCTTGGGGAAAGGTCCCAACAACTCAACCATACTATGTACTGTACTATATACTAAACACATATATATATATATATATATATATATTATATTATGTTATATGTTTGTTGTTCTATATACTATATACTATATGCTATATGCTACATGCTATACACTGCATACTATACAATATACTACGTTGTCTATACCCAGTTGCTGAGGGTCCGTGGACCCTTATGCTTTAGGATTCACCAGGCCTTGGGGGGTGGTGGGGTGGAATCACAGGCTTCAGGCTACCAGTTCGAACATCATGGTGCTGATGTGATGTTGATGTTCTAACTCGGTCGAGGCACCCTTTGTAGTGGAGCGCAGCTTCTTTCTGTAAGGCCCCCTCATATTCGGATCCCCACTATAAGCCCTCGGGGAGGGCAGAGGGCTGATCAATCAGGGTTTAGGGTTTAGGGTTTAGGTCTACATTATCATTCCTAACTCTGGGCTGAACCGACCCTAATCTTCATATCCTGCAAGCCCAAAGCCCCACAGGTCCTGAAGTACAAGAAAGAGGTTGGCTAAACAAAAAGTATCCCTTCATGGTCAGTGTACTACCTAGACTATAGTACACCCAAAACGTCCTGTCAAAGCATTGAAGGCCCTTGTATGTACCTTTTAGAAAGCCTTCAGCCCGAAGCCACTCGAACTTTCGTCAATTTGAAGCATCGTTAGCTTCCGGTCAGGGTGCCGATATCACCTGCGAATTTGAGCGTGGGGACCCCAGAGGGGTCGCCACGGCTTCAGGAGGCCTTATAATAAAGAGAGAGAGAGAGAGAGAGAGTCTTGTCGTATATTGTAGTAGATTTTTCATCAGGACCTTCGCAGCGCCTTCATAAACCGAACAGGTAGGCTTCAAAGGCCTTGTGTGAAGTCTGTGTGGCCTCCGACGTTCGGCAGGTTCTCGTTCGGTTTGCAGAATTAACGTCGGCAAGACGACGCAGTGAGGTTTGAAGAATTTTCCGACACATGTTCAAAGCAGAATGGCCTGACATGCGAAAGGTTGGGTAGCACGCGAGAATCGCTTGTTCTTAGCAGTGGCGTCGTTGTCAGTGCGAAGACTCGGTTCAGCTGGTTGCCAGCATAAAAACCTTTTCGTCTCCTGTTTCAGCATAGCAGCATACCACTTGTTTGGCCAGCAAGCCGGCGGGAGTCTGGCTGGAGGACAGCAGTATACCAGCAATCAGTTCCTTGTGGCATCTATGCGCCAGAGTGCCATGATTTCAAGCACGACGTCGCTGCTGCAGCATCGCAGCCTCTGCTGTGGCCGGCGGCGCACCAGCCTGGGAGGCGAAGAATCGGCAGCAGGTCAAAGAGTACATGCAGAACACTTCGAAAATTTGCCCAAGATGCGGTCTGAGCTCTGTCAGTTCACAAAATGCACAGCTCTGATAATCGGCAACAAAACAAGTACTGTGGTGGCCATCGCGAGCTCAAAAATTGCGAAGAGGATGCAGGGCGTGTTGCTAACGCACTGAGGGCCGGGCAGTTCCCCGACGTCCAGCCCCTCAAAAATCTGAACAGACAAGACATGTTCAGTGAGGTGGAAAGCTTGTCACGATCAGAATCTGACTTTACATGGTTCCATTTCTCGGGACACGGAGTTGTGCACAAGGGGGAGTTGTACCTTGCACCGGTTGATTCTAAGAGGAACGAGGACAATGTTCCACTCTCGTGCGTGTTAGAGAGTGTGAGGCAGATTGCAAAGGATGGATTGCATATCTTCACGCTCGATATGTGCCAACAACATACGAGTCAGAGGGGGCCACAAACCATGGAAGCAATCGAGAGCGCTATGGCCAGCGACGGTGAGCCAGAGCCAGCTGCAGGCACAAGCCGTGGCTTCCAAGCAATGCTTGACCGGATATACGGGCTTCCTGAGCACGGCAGGTACAAGTTTAACCATGAAATCTGGGTATATAATCAGGCGAGATTGGGTATACGGTCGCAGACAACGGATTCTTCTCAACCGGAATCGCAAATTTTTGGAACTCGTTGACCGGGGCCCCCAGGACATGATCGACATAGTCACTGACAAGGTGTTTGTCAAGCGTGGCAGAACGCAGAAGCCGGGCCATAGTGTGCACCACCGCAGGACGGACTGCCGTTACATCATCACAAAAAGAAGTGACGGAAGCCATCAAGCTGGTCTGGCGGAGCATGAGCAAGCAGCAATTGCAGCAGACTTTGCAACCCTTACACCTGCGCGTTTCGCCGACGTGCGACGCATAGTTGAGGCGGAGGCAGCCAGCCGAAGCAAACAGCCTGGGGAATACTCAGGGTGTGGATGGACTCCGGACTGGTCTTTGCAGTCAGTGCTTACAGATGAGCACTGCAAAGCGGTCAGGGCTGCAAAGTGCCTGATTGTTCTGGACGGCTTGATCGGCTGTGGCAAGACAACTTTCCTTCGCTTTTTGCAGAAGAACGGTTCGGAGGGCGTTGAGTTCGTTGCCGAGCCAGTGGACAGGAATGAACCGGACACGTGGTGGACCGATCTGGAAGCCCTCTACCGCGTCATGGCGGCCGGCACACCGGAACAAAAAATCGCTGCAACTTTCAAAATGGAGTACAAGGCTTGGGAGCACCATTTCCGTGTTGCAGCACAGCGACAGATGCACACCTTCACAGAGAGGGGGCTGGGCTCCACAGTGCAGGTGTTTTGCAAGGTTTGTACAGAGGACGGCCTTCTCACAGAGGGGCAGCGTGAATATTTTTCGAAAGCTTATGAGAAATACTCTTCAGATGAGTTTCTTCGTCCCACTCTGACCCTTTACTTCAAACTCCCGACTGAAGAGGCACTCGCCCGAATCCAAAAACGCGCTCGGGAGTTCGAGAAAGGTATGCCGCGGCCGTACTTGGAGAGGCTTTATTGTGCATACGACGAGTTTCTTAGCAATCACGAAGATGTCATTTTGGTCGATTCCAACAATCCTCCGGAGGATATGATGATGGAAATCGCGGGCAAAGTTGAGGCGAAACTGCGGAGTCGAATGACCCCGCAAGATCTCAGGAGTGTGATGCGCTGCTTCGGCAAGGTGGACTGACCAAGGCCCATACAGTCGTTTAGGGTTTAAGGTCTAGGGGGAAGGGTTCAGGGTTTAGGGTTTAAGGTATAGGGTTTAGGGTTTTGGGTTTTAGGAGCCTCTAGAGAGCATTCGCTGGAGCAAGCTTGCGTGCAAGCTTCACCTTCCGGAGGTCATGTGTATTCCCACTCCGGTGTGCACAGGTTAGCTACAAGAACGAGACCACACGTCTTGACAGAGGGATCTGCAGTGCACAGTTTAAAAGCTGCGTCGAACAAAGTGCCGCAGAGCTCTCCAGAGAACAGAAGCTACAATAACTGTTCAATAACCCTTTGCCGCCGTCCGCTTATAGTCGACCTCCAATGCCTAGCCTGAACCCATGGACCCTAAACCCTCAACCCGAAAGCAACCAGTCAGAAATGTAAGTAGTTGATCCTGTTCCCAACAAACACCGTGGCGGTGACAGCGACCACTCTCCCTAAGTGTCCACATATACTACCATTATGGAAAGTCCCCAAAACCATAACAAGAATGGTCTTTTGGGACCTAATTCCACAAT